CTGCTGAAGGAGCAGATGACAAGCGCCGGATTGAATAAACAGCTTATTGCTAACATGTTTCATAGTGATTTTAGGTAAATATTACTTACTAGCTTTCATCCGCGACTCCGTTCGCGTGGAATTAAAAAAAGAAGTGAGTAGCATATGTGTTCTTCCAGACTATCCTCTACATCTATACCAAATTTCATTGAGATCCGTTCAGCTGTTTAGGCTACAAATTTAATCAAACATCCATCCATCCATCTCAACTTTCGCATTTATAATATCAGTATGATTTACATAGTTTTCTCTATATGCAGTCTTTATTGTATTTTGTAGCTATAAGCAGGGACGTAGACTTCAAAAATTTAAAATAGATATAAAAAACTATGAATAAGACCATACTTATTATATCTGTGTCCCGAGACTAAGCATAAATCTTGGACTACGGACGTTCATGTTTATGACTAAATACTAGCCGTTTTATTAGATACTAGCTGTTGCTCAAGACTTCGTCTGGCAAAAAATATAGCCCTTGTACTAATATACTGATATATATTAGTACAAGGGTACTGATAACGTAAGCTAATGGTGTAAGAAATTTAAAAATCGGCAGTAGTTTTTGCGTTTTTCAATATTTGAAATTGAGTATGAGATGTAAGATGTAATCTAAAGTATGCATTTATCACTAAAATTTAAATCGTTTAAATTTAAATTGTTACTCAATAGTTATAAAAAGTAAATAAATTATGTTAATTTTTTCATACTAATTGGAATATGAAACAGGAGTATAATAAAATATTTTTGTTTCAGATACCATTTAAAAGCAATTGAAGCGTTATCAGATGATTTACAAGAGAATGGATCAGCGTTGATGGCTAATCTAGATCTAGTGCTCAAATGGCTGACTTTACGGTTCTTTGACACTAACCCGTCTGTCATATTGAAGGGTTTGGAGTACTTGTCACTGGTGTTCCAGTATTTAATGGACAGTGACTATACTATGGCGGAGTATGAAGCTAATTGCTTTATACCGTATCTTGTTTTGAAGGTTTGTATTGTTGTTTTTACTTTTTTTTATACTACTGGTATTCTTTTGTTTTTATAAATTTAATGTTTTAAATTCCGTTTTTTATGTCTACTAAAATTAATGGTTTTATCTAGTTTTATATGAATGACAAGATTTTTTAAAATGTTTCAAACAAATATTTAAATGTTATGAAATTATTTTTTTGTAATTTTTCATACTAATGTTCCTAAACTATTATACCTATTGACTGAAAATTATCGTATATTTATATTTATAAATTATAGTATTTTTAAAAATTGTAATATTTCAGAAAACAAAATATCCCTAAGATCGGACGTACACCTTTGAGTAAACTATCGTTCAACAGCTGTGCGATGGCTTAGTCAATAAAATGTCTAATGTTTGTTTAAAAACATAA